GAGTTTGATTGATAGAAGAAGGGAGATAAGTTTTTGGTAGTTAAGTAAGTTTTAAAAGTTTGGGAGATTCATGTTTTACTTTTTTCTTTTTTTTTTGACACATCAAAGGTAAACTTGAGAACAACCATCTTATTTTTCAATTCACTTGAAATTTCACATCAAGGATGTAATTGAAATAAATTGATACATTAAAAGATAAAATAATTGAAAAATCACATCAGAAACTCTAGCTAAAAGTAAAATATGAACAATAAGTTTTCCAACGCACTTAGCAGACAAAATAAAACGAGTAGCTGTTAAGGAAACTAAAGAATATCTTTCTAAYAAGCAAATAAACTACTAAACTACTATGAAGTATGATGCTCATCAGCAACCTCCCTTTGACCTCTAATTTTAATAACAAAAAGGCGACGAGAACTAACGTTAACTAAAAAAGGCAAATGCCCACATCAATTATTCACTTAACTCCTCGATTTCCAATTAGAAACTACCCTCAACTCAAAACTCACAAAAAATTAACATTATACAGAATTAAGTACTGCTAGTTGGTTAATGTTATTGTCTAAGGCAGAGAGATATAATACAGAATTTGATCGGATTTTCTAATCAAGAAATTTGGCATATTTCTACCCATGTCCTCCTCCTTRCCTTTGTCTCCCCACTGCCAAATTTGTGTCCATGAAACCCCATATGTCACATATATTGCGTCAATCAAATAATTTCTACCAAAACAAGCAATCCCTAATTTCTTACCGCCCTCTTCAAATTGTCAAATTGCCCAAATGATATCATGAAGTTACACTATGTTGTTTCTTATGTTGTTTTCCCATTARCCAAATACCAAATACTCCTTCCTGTTAAATCATTGCCCTCTTCATCTCCCCCTCTAATGTTGTTTCGACTTGGAAATTTTCAATCAAGTGCAAAAGGAACRAAACAATTAAGAGGTTTAAAGAAGAAGGATGAGGTCGAATAAACAATAATAATCTTACCACCGGAGACGAGGAGTCAGTGGCAAAGGGAGAGGGAGACCGGCGGGAGGGAGCAACGGCGAACGGCGGCGATGACAACAGCTACTGCAGCAACGAACGAACGCAAGGTGAGGGGTGGGTTTATCGCAAATGAAGGGGAAATAAGGCTTTTTGTTATTTTTTTTAACAGTGAAATAGGGCTTTTTAAAMTATGGTACCCGACGGTATATTAAAAAGCGTTGGGAAATTTTACTTTTTCCCGACTATAAGAAAAAAAAAGTCGGAAAAATTATTATTAAAAAAAATTAATATACCCGACTATTTTTCAAAACAGTCGGGTAAATTTCTATCTCTCGACTAGTTTCAAAATCAGTCGGGATAATTATTATTTAAAAAATTATATGAAAATATATGCAGATATATTTAAAACATTGGCCTAAAATTATAATTCCCCACTATTATTAAAAATAGTCGGAAGACTTAATATTTAAGGCAAAATTAAAAAGATAGTATTCCCGACTATATTTAAACATAGTAGGTAGAAGTAATATTTAAAAAATTAAAAAAAAAAAATTATGTCCGACGATAAATTGAAATAATTGCATAAAGTAAACTTCTACAGACCATTATTAAAAACCGTCGAACATATTAATAATTGCCAACTATTTTTAGAATAGTCTGGACTTGTAAAAAAATTGAAAAACAATATACACCGTGCTTTACCAAAATAATCCAACTTACCCCGACTATAATTTAAAACCGTCGGGCATAACAATCTTTCTCAACCATATTTTAAAATAGTCTGGTGTTATATTATCTAAAAAAATAAAAAAACAATATCTCCCGACATTTTCTTCAAATAGTCGGATAACATCTACATCTCCAGACGATTTATATATACCGTGGGGAAAATTAGATCTTTCCCGACTATTTTTACAAATCGTCGGTAATACTACCGACTATTTTACCTTTCGTCGGGTAAGAGGTCTTTGCCCGACGACTATTTATACGTCGGGAAGAAAAAAGTCGGCAAAGCCTTTAATTCTTGTAGTGTAGTGACGCCTTAATCTCAGACCAAGGAAAATAATTTCCTTCCAAAATGCTCGAGAACTACCTATGCCCTCTTCATAGCCGTTATAACATCTCGGACTCCATAGTTATTTGTGGTTTGGTAGAATGAGATACATCATACAACCCTCCGAACGGGTGCATTACCCTGTACCTAAAGATGCTTGAGTATGGACTCAAACTCCCTCTTCACCCCTTCTCTCAGGATCTTTTCCATAGCACTAGCCCATATTGCCCTCAATGGGACGGGTGTTGTATTCAAGCTATTAGTCTTATAGTGACTTAGGTGCCGAGAAACGAAAGATACCAAGCTACTTAATGCCAAGCAACTCTTGGCCTATTTTGAAGTGAAACAGATCCCGAGAAATCTTGAACGCTTCTACTTATGCGCAATGAATGCTGTTGGAGGCAGAGTTAATGCCCAACACAGATAAAAATGTAGAAAGGCAAATGGTTCTATATTAGGGTTGACTTTTTACTCTAGGAATGTGTGTCGGTAGGTCTGTTTGACTATAAAAATGAACCATTTCCGATAATTATTAGCTAAAAAGACTTACATATTCTTAAAGCATAATATGCATAGAACATTTCTGGATAATTTGCAATATATGATACTTTGGAAAAAATGTGAGAAAAATGTGCTAAAAGTTGGAAGAAAATCACAGTTTTCTGTTTTGCAGAAATTGTGCCTGACGCAGTTTTGGTGGTCAACTTTCCCAAAACATGCGTTTGCCTTAATAAAGGGCAAGGGAGTCATTTCAAACATGATTAAAAGAAGCAAAATCGTGAGTCCAACTCAAAGAGAGGTTGAAAGAATCTTAATACGTTTCCTCCTTAAATGGTGGGAAGTTCAACCTCTTTTAAGGCCTATATAAGAGAGTCTCTCCCTCAACACTTCATCATCCAATTCCATCCCGTTTTCATCTTCATTTCTTCCATTCTTGGATATAGATTTCGTTCATAAGCTTTAGAGTTATGTTTTAGTTGTTTTTTTCTTATATTTTCGTACTTTTACTTATTGTGTTGCTTTTAATTCGAGTTCTTACTTCCATTATTCATCTATTATATTCTTTTCAAGTTTTAAGCAAGTTTACACTCCCCTGACGCTCAAAAGAGAAGAGGGTTAAGCTAGAACTCCTTGCATGCCGTTATTTTTCATATTAATTCATTGAAAATTACTTCTTTTATGTTTTTGTACGTTTTCTTTCATTTAATCATGCACTAAGTTATTTATCAACCTATTTGTGGAATGCCTTAGCCAAATGAATTCATTTTCAAACATGCTCGGTATATTCCCATATTGTGCCTGGTGCAATCTTGGTTTGGTTTCTAAAAAATTATCTTTACATCTTGTTTCCATTTGGCCACTGGGAATTTAATTTACGCACTAAAGCCCAAATCTGAGAAGTTTTGGGTCGGGTAAAATAATAGGAAACCAATATGGTATGTGACTTAGACAAAGTGCATAAAACACGATCTAGACATTGGCCTTCTGACCCATAGATGAAAATGAGTTGATAATTACTTTCTAGGATCGTAATCACATATAGAAATATGATTGTAGGTTACCATAGTCTCTGTAGCAACCAGAAGTGGTTCGTACAATAGTAGAATTCACATTTCCAAGATTTAGCCAAATATTGGCTGGTGCATTTTCCCCAAAGTGTGTATCTCCCATATTTTACATAAAAACTAAGGTAGGAATCAGAGAGGTTGAGTTTTATTAAATTGCTTACTAGTTGAAACCCCAAACAACGAAATTTTATCACTATTTTCTTCATAAACCACAATTGCATCTTTGAACCATTCACTTCTTTAAAACCGTTTTGAAAAGCACAAGTCCCTGAGGATTCGAACTTAGATTACTCCCAAGTATTACTTGTGACTGTGTACACTTGCACGTATCTCTTATCTTTTGAAGGCAGAGAAAGTCCCAACAAGTTTTTGGCACCGTCCCAGGGACTTAATTTTCAAAATCATTTTATTTTTTAGTTAATTTTTTTCATATTGGGATTGTTGCATATCTTTGCTCATTGATATAATTTCTTATATCTAACTTTAAAGGGTTTTTTTTAGCACTAAGGTTTTCTTACAGGAGTCCCTAAGGATGTTAAGGAGAGAACATAGTTAAAAGAAAACAAAAGAAAATTAAAAAAAAAAAGAGAACGAAAAAGAGTAGGAGAGGTTACTTGTATTGAACCAACAACCACCACGTATTTAAAATGGAGTATCAATTTATGTACAATCTTCAAATGTGAATTAACATGCCTAAAGCTCCTGTTAATCATTTTTGTTGTTTAAATTGCGGTGATATTTGTCATTCAATGAAATATTGTACATCTAATAGTTCATCACTTGCTATGACTTTTGATGAATATAGTAGTTTTCAATTCAAGAAGAACAAATATACAAACTCAACAAATTCAGTAATCTCATATTTGATACCAATTGTTAATTATGCTAAAATATCAAGATTATAATTGTTAATATTTATGGAGTTCAATCTCAAAATCAATTGGTAAGGAGAGAAGTAGGCAACTTATATGATAAACCTTTGTTGGATCTCTTATCTTTTCAATATCAGATCCGTAACAATAGCAAATAACGAGTTGCTCAGGCGACAAACTGGCCGTATGGACTAAACATGAATAAGAAACAGATAAATAAAATAAAGCAAATAAGAGAAA